CCCAACCTCCAAAATGCTCATTGTTTCAAAATCCACCAATGTATCTCAACACATAAGGAAATCATCAAGCATAATCTAAATCAACCAAGAAGAATCAATCACTGTAAGTTGTTTTTGAGCATTATTGAGTTATTTTGATTTTACATACAAATTGTGTTTTAGAGTAGTAAAATGTTTTTTTTTTAATTCTTGCAATGTTTGAAGTCAACACAGAAGTGTTAGCCATGTGATTTGACGATCAATGCATATTTTTTTATCCCCATTGGCTAACAGTTTCTCCATTGACGAACTTGTTAAGTTACAGGTCATACCGAAAGTGTATCTCCGTTTTTGTTCTTAACTAAAATCGGAAGTATACTTCCGGTTATGCAGCAATAGTTTTGCACTATTTTTTGTACAAGGGTGATTGTATAATACTTTATTCGTTTATTCTACAGGTATTATGGCTGAGAGACAATTCAGATTACGACACGGGAGACTTTCACAACAGGCTTCAGTGCGTAGGGAAAGGACTCTGTATTTTCAGACTCCTAGGCCTGTTGTGCTGGATACTTCCACTCTGTCGACTAGCAGGCGAGAGTCTCCTGTCCATCCATCTCCGCCTCTGTCCTCCCGCAGACGTACATCTTCACCGCAGGTATCTGGACCAGGAGAGACATCCAGATCCCACTCACAGACTACACCATATTCAGTTCATATCTCTCCACCTCCCCTGGTCTTTGAGACAAGAGAGTCTTCTTCATCTCAGCCTACACCGGTTCCCGCCCAGCCTACACCAGAGGCAGCACCAGAGGCCCACCCAGAGGCCACCCAACCTGCACCGGCGGCCCATCCAAAGGCAACACCAGAGGAAGAACCAGAGGCCCATCCACAACCTACACCGGCGACCCATCCACAGGCAATAGCAGAGGCGCCGCAGGCCTTTGGAGGAGATTCTATAGGAGAAGCAGTCACATGCCAATCATGCCACTGACGTGTTGCCTAGGTGTCATCGTATCATGGAGATTGTGCAGGATAGTATGGATAGGAGTTTGTTTCCTGATGGATCTGATGTTAGAGGTGTTCTGGATGCCATCATGGTGGAGACTAGGGAAACTCTGTGTTACAAACGCTGGCAGAGGAATGTCGGGAGAATCACGGGCCAACTCATTATTCGACATGCTCAGTAGTACGATAGTTTTAGATGACTTTTGTTTATTGTACTATTATGTTTTTCATATTTTGGATTATTTGTACAATACTTTGAGGAATATTTTTCATATCGTATTTTGTACGTCTTTTGGAACATAATATTTATCAGCATTTGCATGTATTTTTGGGATCGCTTCTTATTTAATCGAAATCGTATTTTGTATTTTGTAAATATGCACCAAAACCTACATAATAATGTGTTCTGAATTGTCTGTGCAGAAACCAGAAATGCATATACAATACCAAACCGTAAATACATTTCTGGTTTTAAACATGATTTCTCAACAAAAAAAAATGTGCCCCAAAAATATATTTCCAAGAGGTATTTTTGATTTTGCATAAGATATTTTTCTCCTATATAGAATGTCATAACAAATCCTATAGACTGTTTTGGTTAATTAACTTTTGTTACAAACCAGTTAAGATTGTTAGTTGAGTTTGTTACATGCTTAGACAAGTAATAATAGAATGCAAAATCCCTATGATTGATCATTGTTAAGGATCTCATCAATGAGAAATCTTTCAATCTATTGTTCATTTTTGGTTTTCTAATAAGCTAAATAATACTTTTTTCATTGCTATTTTATAAGGTCAATTGAAGCTTCTTGTGTAATTTAGAAGCACTATAACTAAGTTAATATTTGCTACAAGTTAAGGAAGTAATTTGCATATATAATGTTTAAAATTGGCTATATGCTAAAATATAGTATACAGAACTTCAGTGTTGTAAATTGGTTATAGGTCCTTTAAACCAATGCCTACCACTGACTAACCAGTAAGAAAGTACAAGAGTGATCAAACATCCAAGTGCAACAGGTGTGTAGTTAAGTGTCTCAATTGTTATTGGGTATGAAACTGGCAATGAGAATAGTATAGATATGATCACCACCCAAATAACTGCAATCCAACCAACAACGATCCCATATCGGCCCAAGTTGAAAGGACCAGGAACAAAGTTCTTTCTTGCCAATGTCACCCTAAAGAATATAGGAAGTGCATAAGCAATGTAGAGATCAATCACTGCTATGGACACCATGGCTTCAAATGCCACTATACTTCCAAGAGACTGCAGTTTATATGAATTGTTCAAATTGAGTTAGAATGAAATAAACTGTTAAGAGATACAATACAATACAACAATATTGAGTCCCGTTAAGTCAGTTAAGTCATCTCAGTTAATAGTTGTGCAGAGACATCAAATACAACAATATCAAACCATACCGTTAAGGCCATGCAAAATGATATAAAAACAGAAAGCCAAACTGCATATATAGGAACATCCTGCTTGTTAACTTTATGCCACAAAGACGAAAATGGCATGGCACCGTCTCTTGAGAAAGCATAAGCCATTCTGTAAAAGTTCTAACCATTATAAGTAACTATACAAATATTTAATCTTTCTTGAATGAAAATCACACTGAGAGCACCCGCAGTGAGTTTGTTACCTTGAATTGCTGGTAATTGTACCCATACCGCAGAAAAAAATGGCGACAGCGACGATTCCTAAGCAAATAATACCTCCAATTCCATTTCCATATCTTGTTTTGAATGCTTGATAAAATATCTCAGCAATGGCATACCCACCAGCATCATTGTTTTCACTCAAAAGGTAAGGGATGTCAGTAACGGCGTAGGTAATACCTACTATGTAACCCCAACCAACAATAACAGATATCCCAACAGCACTTATGATTCCTTTTGGTCCATTCTCATCAGCACCCTTAGTTTCTTCTGTCTGAAAATTCAAGTTTGCAATAAACAAGTCTTTTCAAGGCAAAAATTAGCGAAGCAGAATTTGAGCAGACGGTAAAAAAATGTTTACCATATGAGCTGATGCATCATAGCCGGTAAGTGTATACTGACTCATTAGAAGTCCTATGAGAAACATGTAGGGTCTGCTATTGATTCCATCTCCGTTATCAGCGTTGAAATGAGTGAAAACAAACTTTGTACTAGCCCTTTCCGTTGCAACAGATGGAATGAGAATCATAAGCACAAAAACACCTATAAGTTTCTCCGTTTCTATTAGTAATAGAAAAACTAAGGCCTTTGTCCTAAAGATCGAACAGGGAAATTCTTCATACCTAAAACATTCCAGATAGCACCGAGTTGTCCTAAGAACGATAACACAGAGATGGGGAGGCTGTTTACCATTCCATGAAGGAGCAAAATTCCACCATGGAAAGCAAGAACTACATATTTAGATGCTACATATCCACCACCATTTTTTCCACCAGTACTAAGGAGAATGATGACCTGAATGAGTTGCGCAAGTGAAAAATCTACACTTGTTGTCCCTGCCCACTGAAAATGTAAACAAAATTATAGCTTAAAATATGATTATTAGAAATATTTTGACCAAGCAGTGAAATGTGAAGTATTTTAAATTCTTGAACATGTGCTTCTCAACAATACCAAGCCAATAATATTGAACCTGCAAGAAAAGAGAAAGAAAGAACAGTAGGTCAGATAAAAGAATGTAGGTGGACATGCTCAGATCATATATTGTCTGTTGTAAGACTCTTAACACACTTCCTCGTGTCCAGAACTGGACATCTGAAGCGTGGACATTAATGGTGAGTGGCCCGATTAATACATAAAGAAACAGTGTATGCTGGTTAAGATGTTAGCTAAGGAACATTCGAGGTTGTTTACCATCCAGTAATCCAGGAGGCAAAAGGTGCCCATTTGGGACCGGCGAGCTTGGCACTCCAATAGTAAAGACCGCCAGAAGTTGGAAAAGCCGAACAAATTTCAGCCATTGAAAGTGCAACAAGCATGGTGAAAGCAGAAGCCAAAAACCAACCATATTGCATAGAAACTGGACCACCATAGTTCAACCCAGTGTTGTAAAGGGTGGTGATACCGGTGAGTACGGATATAATGGAAAATGAAAGAGCAAAGTTTGAAACCACCCTGCAGTTGACAACAAACTCCAATGAATCCAAACCAAAACTAGAAATGAAAGCATAAAGGAGAAAGAATGGAGATAATCTTTACGAGAGATCGCGATTCAGTTCTTGTTTGTAACCAAGTTGAAGAAGACGGTTATGACCAGAGTCAAGTGAAGCATCACCATTGGTAACTTCATGAGATGGGAGTGTCATGTTTTGGGTGACAGCCTAAAATCTTGCTTGCTTGAAGCAAGAAATAGGAGGTACACAGTCAAAACGCCTTGGTTATTGTCAAATTTGGCTTATCAATTGATGTTCACATAATATATAAATCATTGTTGGTTGTTGATAAATTCAACCACCATTCAAATTATTTGTTTCTTTTGTCCTAAAGTGTTAAATGTATTATACCAATATAGTCAAACACACTCACGGCCGGCTATCACTATTGACCAATGTTTTATAGTATTAATTAATATTAAGATGAAGACCAACATTAAAGAGATGTTTTGGAAAATATATAATACATCAAACATTTCGAAGCCACTTTTTCCACGAAACAGAATCTAAGGTGTTTATGAAAATCATGCACACTTTCATGCTTTCTCAATCTTTTCTCGTGTTGCAAAAAAAATGCATACTTTAATTCTGTCGTCGCACTAACATTCTCATTGTATACACAATAAATGAACAAAAAACAGTACGGTGGCAACAATCAGATTCGTGGCCAAACCATAGACAACTAGCAAAATATTCCAATCCAAAAGCCATATAAGAACCAAGGCAATTGACATTGAACTCTTAACAAGAATGACGCCAAAGTGCCGATTATCTGCAACTGCAACTAAACCTCTCAACTCTATAATTTTTACAGATTATGGACATCTCGTGGTCTTTCCTATGTCTTTCGAACAGTCAATGCATCCTAGCATTCTGTGCTAACCCACCACCTAACATGGGGCTTGAATCCCAACTATTGCCTCGTGCATCTCCATCATGCTGAGATGGGATGTACACAGATACTGCCTGAAGCTCTGCAGATTGTGCAAGTTGACTGTCATTGCTGACGGGAGGCTGAACATTACGAGTTTCTGCTAACATCTGGAAATATGCATGGGGTCCCCAACCTACATATACAATTATATCGTACTATAGTGAGGGTGTTATTGAATAAAAGTCTAATTAAGGGCTAACTTATTAAATAAGTTATTGTAACGAACTTAATAAAGTACTGTTTCATAGGCAATTCTGGTAGATTATGAAAATAAACAAGAAATAACTGATTGGAATGCTAAAAGTTATTTTTATAAATATTATCTGAACATAATTTAAACGCTTATGACACAAGATAAACTCATAAATTCTAAATAAGCTCTTCCAAATGACTCCTAACTTTAAACTTGAAAGTCCAAAGGCTAATTAGCATTGCTGAGAGAAGACAAGAAAGCATAGCAACATAAACAATGTATTTTTAAGACTACATATTAGGACACTGAACATTAAAATCCAGGCAAAATAGAGATGTTATACTAGAGCAAATGTTTTCTAGATTACGGTAAAAAAAAAGTATTCACCAAGTTGAGCCTAGCCAAAAGACTAAAATCCTTCCAGGCCGAAATTTCAGATTTATATAGCATAGGGTGGATATGGCATGGAAAGGAATAAAAACGAATTTTCATTACAAGAATATAAAGGAATGATAGGATAAAGGGAATGATTCAGGACATACCATCACTGTCATATGGAGGTGGAAAGAATTGTAAGTAACAAAAAGAAGCAATTGTCGTCCCTGATAAAATAAGTTCAAGTAAGAAACATTGCCAAAATGTTTAAAGAAATATTTAATAATCTGGCTTCAATAAACAAACCTATAAGACCTCCAGCAAATACATCAGTCCAATGATGCCAATAATCATCAACACGGGAGACAGCAATCAATGCTGCCATGAGGATAGGTAAGATAACAAGACAGAGCTTTGCAATGTGACCGTTACGATCAAACACCCTAACTTTTCCTGATAGATACCAAGACAGATAAACAAGACCTGCAAAGGACCCTGCATAGCAATAAAAAAACTTTCTGAGCATATATCGTGGCAGTTCATACAGTTACTGGTAAATTAAAAATTGAGCACAAACAATAGAATCATAACATTTTCTACTTTCATTTCTTAAATTACTAAAAATTACAGAAAGGTCACCTTATTTTCAACTTGGTTCAATACTTTAATGATTTATAAATGAAATATTGTTAATTTTTTCACTATTTCATTTCATATACAGTTTTTTAAACAAAAAGCAAAGTAAAAACAGATGATGATTTTGTGATTATCAGTGAAAATAAGAATTGAAAAGAAAAATATATTTTTCAAAGCAGACCCTAAGTTAGTAAAAAGTACTTACAAGATGTATGGCCGCTCGGAAAACTTTTGTGCCCTTCTTTAATTATACTACTATCTCCATTACATTTAACATCACCCGTTACTTTGTCAAACACCTGAACATTTCATGAAGCAATGCCATGTTTAATGAGAAAATGACTGCTTAATAAAATAATTATGTATCACATGGTAATTAAATTATATTACTAGGACTATCTTGGTAGTTGATAAAATTGAACACTCACCCCTGTTCCATTAGGGAAACAGCGCCAGAAGAAATCCGGCCGTGGCCGTCCAACACCATCTTTGATAGCATCAGTTATCACCGCAGTAATGAGTACGGAAAATAGAAGGCCTGATGCATTTGGTAATAGTAACGATATGATAAATCACGGTGTTGAAATAAGAAGGATAGGGGGAAAAAGCTTTAGAAGGTTCAGAAATGCACCCAATATGGCATGGTGAAAGTCATAAACATCGTTTCGAATGAAATAGTAAACAAGAAAGATGACAAGTGGCAGTAATACTGCTATTACCTGTTCAAAAATTAAAATGCAATAGTTTATAATCTTGAGTGTTGACCAAGTGAAGAGCAAACATAACATAATCTCAAATATCTAGTAATACACGGCAGCAAAACATACCGGAACTGCCCAAAAGGGAATAGTGTTATCCTTTAGTGGGTATCTAAGGTCTGTCATCATTCCCTCTCCAACAAAACGGTGAAATGGCTCTATTATATTCAAGACAGCATCAATTACCACAAGAAGCAAGAGAATCAACCAGTCATGCATATGTATCCTTGCGACTGTAACTCCATGTGATCTAATAGTGTGTACACCCAACTGAATTTCTGGCATTTTTTTGCTGAAATTGACTAAAATGTAGGTTAGCAGGAATTATGATAGAAATCAAAGCACTGCAGTCCACAAATTTAGGGATATATAGCTAGAGCAAAAACAGAAAGGAGAATGTGTACATTTGCAGAGGTATGTGATAGACACTTAATAGTAAAGAGGGTGTCTGTGAGGGGGGATAATAGGGGAAAAGGAGGAAGCTGACTACAACTCATAAATAGACTACACATAAAATTACAAACAGACTGTATGTTAGGGGTTAGTTGGGAACTCGGTGAGGCTTTTAGTTTTTGCTTTGTGTTTTGTTTTGGGCTTGCCCCATTTTTGTGATAAAAAAAAATGTGAGAAACTCAGTGAGGACTGTAGGTGATAGATTCTCCTCAAAATCACCTTACATTGTATACTTCCTGATTGCATTTGACCAGGGGATACAGAATAATAAATCAGGGGCCTATTGCCCTAAATTTCATCATCAATTTCGTGTTTGTTTTATTCTTATACCAGTTAATTATATCAGTAGCCATGGTCCCAAAAAAAAGAACAGAACTCCCACTCTAACTTAAAAAAGGCCTCCCTCAAATTTTTTTTTTAGGCCTACAGATATATTGGGCTATCCCGTGAAGATAATTTGGGAGTGTTCTCTGTCAGGAAAAGATTGAGAAACTGATTCTGACATTCTTCATAATTTACAGTGAGACTTCTTACAGGGATGAAGCCAGAAGAGGCTCAAAATAACCACTAGATTACTGACACTAACTGAATATGTTGACTTAGCACATCCAGCTACTTACAACTAGAAGCTACACTAACTACCAGAGACATTACCTGCCTGATGGTGTACATAATTAATAACTGTACAAGAGCATATGTACAAGAGCATATAGAGCCTCTATATACCATATTAGACTTTGAAAGAGTGAAAAACAAAAGAGACAACGTGTTTTCTGTTAAAAGAAAATGATTCTATTATATTTCAGAAAGCATAATGAGACCTTAGTGATGGAACCTTAAAAGCTTGCAAGTTACCACTAGGTAATGAACCCTAACAGAATATGTTGACTCAACATATTCTTTTACAAGAACTATCAACTACACATACATACCATCTACACTAGCTCCTTGATGATATAGATAAACTACAACTGTACAAAAGCACTTACACCGTACAGAAATACATAATCGGAATACTATACAAACACAGACAGACACTCTTTCAGCATTTTCATATTTACTTCAGATTTCCAATGTATGATATCAATGGTGATTAGTGTATCTTTTGTTTTACTATAAACACGAAATTTATGTTAATATAATGTTTTAACTTCAAAATTTACCATGGAAGTAGGACTAAATCCGGATTATCCTCGACTCTTAATTAATAATCAATTTATCTCTATTTTGACGCATCCAGAAACGAGGTCACAGATTTAAACTTTTCTTAAGCCTTGTCAAAGGCATGAAAACACCTCCTAAATCTAATATAGACCTAATCTGAGTTACCTTCTTGTTTATGACAGTTTCTGAATTACAATAAATTTACAAAAAGTTCCTTAAAAGCTTCAAAATGTTAATACAAATTTCAATGAAAAGCTTCTAATTGAAAAACCAAAGTTAATTCCAAATTATATATAAACCTATCCTTTACAAACTAGTAACTACTTTAAGTTCCATTTTAATACAGTTCTTTTCAAAAGTGTTTGTCAATAAGTTAATCTAAATTGTCTCTTAATACTCAAACAAAAAGAGCTCCCAAAAATATCTCTGATACAAAAACTCCCACAACAATATGAATAACACATACTTCACTTTAGCCACAAATTCATAACCGATATTTACTTTCTCTCTATCACCGAAAGAACTCAAAAACCAGTTATAGAAATTCTTCACTGAAGCCATGAAAAATTAAAATACAGAAGAAATCTAAATCCCTATGAAACACATACACTCCGAACACAACTCTGACACTGAAATAGCAACACTGGTAATTATTAAAAAAATGAATAAATTAAACGTAATCACAAATCACAAGTATCGGTGTATGTGTCCGACACCGACACGCCTTTTTTTCAGAGGGGTCAGTGCTACCTAGCTAAATCCACTTCGCAATATCTCTGAATAACAATCATTACAGTTTGCATGCATGTTAAGGGTTTCATATTTCCGTTTCCTTCCAAAAAATCAAAAGCACAAATTCCGAATAGAGCATTTCACAAATTGCGGCCGTAAAACAAAAATTAGTAATAAACAACAAAAATTGAATGAATCATAAACTCAAAAATCTCCGATCCAGAACAAATCAAACCAAAAATTAGTTAATTCAAAAAGTTGCTAAACTGTTATGGTTTTGAATTACGAAAACAAATACAGAAAAGAAAGAATCAAAGCATGTGCAGTGGAGTAGACAAAAACAGAGAAAGTGAAACGCGCGGAAAGAGCAAAGATGAATCACAATGCGATGAGAAAGAGAAAGAGAAAGAGAAAGGCACGTGAGGCACCTGCAATTGCACGTGCGCGAGATTCGCGGCGGCGGAAGGAGGAGGAAGAGAATGAATTTCTGATCGGTGGCGACTGGCGGCGAGTAATTGAGAGTGAGAATAGCGAAATAAATGAAATTCAAAATATATTGAAAAAGAAGGCGCGTGTGATTATTCTATTTTTGACTCAAATTATTGGGCGAAGTTGAAACGAAGAGAACGCGGTTTTTATTTTCTGGGGTATTAGATATTAATGAGCTTCGTTATAGATCAATTAATTCCATTTATTTTTCCTTTATTTATTAATTCCTAAACATTTGTAGAAATTATTTATCCTAAGTGTGGTTAATTCGGTTTGAGAATTAATTATGATAGTGTTAACTATGATATTTATTTTAAAATGAGTAATATTATTTACATTATAGATTGAAAAAATTCATTGATAAAATATTTTGAATTTAAACATGTATTGACTGTGTAAACTTTTACACTGTTATCTAATAAAAAATAAATAATTTATTATATTATTTGATTTTTTAAAAAATAATATATGATTGTAATTGGTATACATCAATATTTTTCAAATACTTTTTATTAAAAATTAAATATCATTAAATTATTATTTGTAGTATCATTTAAAAAACTACACAAACAAAATTATCCGGAACTGCAGTGTAACCAGTGTGGAGATAGATTTTTTATAAGAAGAAAAGGTGAAGACAGATCCTGAACCAAACACCTTTATTAGTACTAATATTTATTTAAAAGCTTGTTGTTAAACATTTTCATAATATATATATTTTTAATAATGATAAATAGAAGAAAGAAAACATTAGCTTCTTTTTTTTATAAACCAATTACTTTTTCTTGTTCCCTTTTTCTTTTTGTCTTTTCCTTTTATTCTCCTTTTTGACTACTCATGCAAAACTCAATTATTAATAAAAAAATTGTTTAAATTTTATTATTATTATTACTATACTACGTAGTATATTAGTTCAGCTACCTTATATTAGAGCATTAGCTAGTTACATAACCGGAGTTGAAGTTTGATGAAATTTAGTTATTGAGAATGTGTTTCTTCAAGATTTTGGAATTAAATTTTGTCTGATACAAATAGTTTTTGTGTTAAATCAAATTTATATATAATTTTTGTTTTACCTTTAAATTGGAATCTGCAAATAAATAATGAAATTGATCTTCTTAAATTCGTTAGTAAACCGAATATCAAAATTTAAAATTAAAAAAAAATAAAAAAACATTAGTTATATTTTTTTCTTTGAAGGGAGTGGTTAATGCTATTATATTAGTTCAGCTACTTTTAAATTTCTGAAAATTCGGTTGCTGATATTTTATTTGCATTTATTAATTGAGAAAAAATGTCAACATATAGTACAGGTTAGATAACGACATTTTTCCTTTGAATTTTTTATTATTTAGCTAAATACCATCGTGAAAAGTACATGTTCTACTAAGCTTATATTGTAAAGTACTCAAAAGGGCCAAAAAAAAAAGCTTATTTATATGTGTTCATAAGAAGTAGAAAATTGTCTTGTGATAACTCTTTACTTAAAGTGGCACGTTGAAACTGCCACTTCGTCAAGACTTAAGATTGATACAATAATAAAAATTTAGTTATGGGGATTCTTGGGTTTTTTTGTGCAAACAAGAAGACATTGTAGATGATTGCATAATTATATAATTTTAGATGTTTCATTGGTTTTTTTTTTTGTGTATTTTGGATTGTCTTGTCACTTTTTTACTATTTCTCTTGTTCTTCATCTATAAAAAATGGGTGATTTATGATCAATTTTGTATTCAAAATTACTTTTTTCAATTTTTGTTTATTTCTTTTTTATTTAAATAAGTGATTTCATATTTATTTTTTATTTTTTCTTCGTGATTTCATTATTTTAGTGTAACGTTGTGTTGTTCGTCGTTTTATTGTGATGTTATTTTGTTTTTCCGTCTTGATGTGGTGTTTGTTTGGTTCAATTTGAGAAATTAGGTTCAATTCAGTGCATATTCAATCAATGATTTTGACGTCGTTAATGCTGCAGACTCGGAGACATATGTATTATGAACATTTCAATTTCATCATATTTATAAGCTTTGTCACATTTGTAGGTATTTTACCATTATATGTTATTAACATTAGTGTTGTGAATTTGTTCGTGGATTTATCTTTTTAAATATATAGCGATTTTGATTTTGTAGTATTCGTATTCAATCAACTTAAATGAATGAATGTTGTTTTTAGTCTAAAAAAAATTCTTTTTCAATTTTATTTTAATTATTTATAATTGACTTAAATGCCTTTTTTTAAAAATATTTTTAACGTTTTAAAGATATTTTTAAAAAAAACCTTTTAATCCATCCATTAGATATTTTCTGAGTTCTTTAGTCTCCATTCATTTTTATGGATGTGACACTTAAAATGTCTGACGTTGTCCAGAGTGTGTGGCGTCATGTTATTAAAAATATTTAAAAGTTTAAAAATTTATTATTTTATTTTCTTAAATTATTTTTAGTAATTAAATGTTTTTAATAATTTTAATTAATTTTATTTTAGAAAAGTTATTTAGAATTTTAAAATATATAATATGGTTCTATAGCCATGTAATTTACAATAGCAATCCAATACTCAAGATTCAACGACCATAGTGTGAAAGAGTTTTATAAACTTCCATTTATTATCGAAAATTCAATGTGGAACTTTCGTGTTGTTTACAAGCAGCAACCACAACAATCAAAACTAATATTATGGGAAGAGAGTGTCATACAACTACAAGTTAAGGACCAACACAAGGATGCAATATTTGTCTAGCTTAGTTACTTTAGGGACCTTATCAGATATATCAGAACCTATTTCCATTTGTTTCTTCTTGGCTCATAACTCCTCATGAGCATTGCAAGCATATGTTTCTTGTTTCCATCTTCATCATATTCCCTATTTAAATTTGGTGCTTTTTTTACATAAAGGAATCCAAACTCTTGCAAAACTAGCAGTCTCTGCAAGAGCTTCAAATGTTAAAAAAGCTTTCCCATCATCAAACAAATAACAATCAACTTTTTCAATTGGATAATCAATTGTCAAAATATATAAAATTGTGTTTGCAGTGACAAGAGGTGGCTCCTTTTTTGAATCTGCTGTGGAAATTTTAGACATTAGAAGCCATGACAATGAAACCCATAGCTCACAACCACATTACCTCATGGTTCTGATGTCGAGTCCTCCATATAAGAAACAAACCAATTGCAGTAAGACATATCAAAATTAACAACCTTAACAAACAAACAAACAAACACATTTGGAATTGGAAACTTATAATTCAGTCAAACATGTTGTTTCCATCAAAAGACAAAAAAAAAAGTACATCTGCAAGTAACAACAAACCAAAATCTTGTAATATGAACTTGTTTCTTGTGTTTTCTTTTAGAAGGCTTGTTTTAGAAGACGAAAATAACATTTGATCGAGTGTAGGAGGAATGTGAACTGTGTATGAAACATATTTTATAGTTGTTTCTTCTTTATATTGTTTCAGTGTCCTTGGAACATTGAACAGTGTCACAGTTGATGGAACATGAATAAATTTTATCTTCCATGCTATGATAACTCTAAAGTTTTCCTCTATCACTTTGAATAGATGAAGTCCTTGAAATAATTTGAGTTGTTGTAACAAAAATTTACTAAGCAAGATTAATGGCAGGATGAAGTCCTTATGATTTGGGTAGTTGTAAACAACAATGGAAGTCCCACATCGAATTTTCAACAATAAATGAAAGTGTTTATATAGTTCTTTCACATTGTGATTGTTGAATCTTGAGTATTAGTTTGTTGTAGTAAAGAAAGTCGGTTATAAGCCAATAAATTGTATTTTTAATTTTTAAGATAAGATTTATTAAAATTATTAAAAACATTTATTATTAAAAGTATTAATAAAAATAATTTTAAACAAATAAAATAATAATTTTTTTAAACTTTAAATATTTTTAATGACGTGATGACATACACTTTATACCACGTCAGATTTTTCAAGTGCCACATCCATAAAAGTGGAAAAAGACTAAAAAAAACCAGAAAATGTCTAATGAAGAGATCAAAAGGCTGAATTTTTTTTTAAAGGGGGACTAAAACGTTAAAAATATTTAAAAAAAATGACCAAAACTGCATTTAAGTATTTATGATATTGTCTTTATTCTCCTTATGATTTTTATTTTCTTATTTGTGTTTGTTCTTTAAGATTCATAATTGAACTCGCTTTTTTGTATAAAAATGAATAATTTTGTTAAAACACAAAGCACGCACGAAAGAATGTTCTTGTTGATATAAATTCTAGAGATCAATGATTGTTTTGTTTTAACTCAAAATGTGTATCATCTTATTTATTTATGATAATAGGTGATGTTTGTTTCAAAGTAACAACGTTCTCGTTCCCTTATGAAACTAGAATTAATTAAAGAACAAAGGGCGTTGTATGCGACGGTGGATTTGAGCTTATATTGCAATGGAGGAGAGAGTGACCTACAAGATTAGCACTCTAATGCTTAAGTCACTACGTGAATGAAATGAGTGAATAAATTTTGATTTTGAAATTGTGTATCTGAAATTGGCGCACGTGACCTTTATATAATGAAGGGTTATAAAAACCCGTTATTCTCTAGGCATGGGGTGCGGGGAGTCTTTGGATGTATCCTGACCATGGATCTCATGTGTTCTTCCCTAGGATAATTCCTTTATGCTATGAGTAATTGAGCAAATAATTTATTCCTTTGGGCCGCAGTCGATGGTCGTTCTGCCCGACCCAAAACCATTGCCTCCCAATCCCTCGCCTCTGCTTGGTAGTGGGAGGGATTGTTGTATTTTCCCGTGCATTTCAGTCATATCTTATCTTAAATGGGAAGTTAAGAGATGATGTTATTGTTCTTGGGAATTCACGTCTTTAATGCGTGCATGCTTCAGATGTCTTTTCGTAGGTTCCATCATAATGATCTTTAAGAACTGAATCACTCAAGTGTCTTGTTGAGGCGGTATGAAGCGTTGATTTACTCTTAGTAAGTTATAATACTATTTTTTAAGAGTTAATTTTTCATTTTCTTGAGACGTTATCTTTGCTTCTTTGTCACATGCATTTTCTACAACGCCTTTCTTCCTATATTTGAAGAAAGTAGTGTCCATCATAAGTCGAAAATTAAAAGAAGATACTTTTTCCTCCTGGTTTGACCTTGTCTCTCCATCAAATATCTATATCTTTGTTCAAGAAGGTGGTCTTAACAGAGCCTTTTTGGACGTAGGTCCATCTTCAGATTAGGGCATATTGACCATTAATGAAGACAGGAGAATTTGTATCGAGTATGGTGAATGTTCCATTTCTTCCTATGAATGTACCTTCTTTAACCTGGGTTTTCGATTTCCCTTTAACAAATCTAAAATAGAAGTTTTGAATCACTGATGGTTGTCCCCTCGCAGATGCATCCTGTGAGTTTGGTGTATATTAAATTTTCCATCTCTTCAAAGTACGACGTAGTTTCATAGCCTAGGATCAAGGCCATGGTTTGATTAATCTGGTGCAGGTTGTTCACATCTTCTAAATGTTTTAAGAGAGCCTGGAGCATTTCAAAAATATATTATTCCTAGTTGTCCCTCTTTATAAAGAGGCTCGTGCAATAGTATGTATTGTAAGGACCGGAGTGGAAGACATGTGTACCAGCTTATTTCTCAAGTACTTGAATAAATGTCATTTCCTAATGAGGAATAGATTATATGTCTACAAAGAAGGTGGTATATCTCAGGAGTAACTTTATCTGAAGAGATGTCTGGTTGGCTTCATCAAAGAGTTGGATTATGTCGGGGGTGTCACTCCTTGGGATGAGGCTTCATGGAAATGTTTGAAACGGCTTATTGAAACACGTTTGTTGATGGATTATCGCACTAAGGAGGAGAGAAAGTTCACTTTTGGTGAGTTTAAGATGTACTTTTTCCCCTGTCGTCAATTCGATTATCTATAATGCGCTTAATTTGGTAATCACTATTTGTAGACTTGATGAAGAATGAGTAAGCAATATGCCTACTAAGACGGGGAATTCGACCAACCCTGGTTGATGCGAGGACCTTTATACATTATGAAGTTTGTCGATTCTCATTCCCATATAGGGCCTGTCGGAGGTTTTAAATGATCCCCAATAGTTATTGTGCGTGTTGTACCCCAAAATTTGCCCTCCCATCTTTGAGACAAATTGATTCAAGACACATCCTCATGCTCATAGGAGTCTCAAGTACTTAAGACTACTCAAGGGTTTACCAAACAAACCCTCATTCTAAACAATTGACCTATAACTAGGATTTTGCTTCTCTTAAAGTAAATTTAGTTTCTAATGCCTTAAGTGGACTTCATGGTTTTACATATGTATCAAGGTATCCTCATGTCAAGTTTCAAGCCTTGCACCACAAGTTTGCTCAATCAATTATCCAGATGATTGAAAGTCGAGTGTATTGGACAAAAAGTCAACTTTAACCAATTGACAGCCAAATCTCAAGATTTTTGGTCAACATCAAGATTTTGAAGTCACATTCATCATTTGATCAAGGGTTGACCATGATTCATCAAGAAAACTCAAGATTCATCAAAAGTCAAAAGTTACTAAATTAGGGTTTTCTTAAGGAGAAGTCAACTGAACTTTGACCAAGAAAAACTTTCACATACTTCATCATATATTCCTCAACCAAAAATACTTCATTTAAGAAATATGAGCCAAAACTTTACATGTCATTTTGAAAGTCAACAAAAATACATCTTTTTTCAAAGAAATTTACATCAAGTTAAAGACTTCAAATGAAAAAATGACCAACATAAAAGTTGTAGGAGACATCTTGAGGCTTCCAAAAAGTCCAATATCATCTTCATATGACAAAAACTGAGAGAGTTATGATTGGTTCAAGTTGAGCAATTTTGAGAAAATGCATGAAGTCCACTTTGAGCAAAGTTGAATTTTTGAGCTAAAGGGCCTAAGTTTTGAGGTTCAAACATGTCCATGACATAATAAGGGACCTCTAAGTCCATTCATACATTATCATAATTTTTTTATTTTGATTTTTATTCAAACAAATTCAAAATAAATTAAATAAAATATGAAATAAATGGATTTAGGCGCATGACTTTGGTTTTGGATCAAAATTGAAGCCCAAAAAGCTTGTGACAACTAAGGAAAACCGTGTATGCCATATTTGGAAGGCAAATCTTCAATTTTGGAAATATTTTAAGCACAATATGGAAATAAATCATGCAAGCCTTAATTCCATGAGATTTTGACCTAGAATGCTTGACCTATAAATACACAACACTTTTAGCCATTCAAGGACAGTCATACTGCCTCCAAGAAGCAACCCTAAAATCTCAAATTTCTCAAAACTAGGGTAACTTGAAATGCTTATCTCCAGACTTTATCAATCAATTCCAAGTATTCCATCAATCTCCTGAAAGTCCCAAGAGTTCATACCAATCCTTACTCAAGCTTGAAGCACGCCAGAACAACACATCTCTGTTGCACTGATTTGGCAACCTTCTTTAATTTCAAACTTTTAATATACGCATTGTTGAATGATTTGATGCATACATTCATATTCATATTGATGTTTGGAACGATTTTGACGCATTATTTGTGAGGTTTGACACAGGAACGGAGGCCTGCCATTGTTAGGGCAGTTTGAAATATTTTCATCGAATCTCACGCTACAGGCATTTTCAGGTCAAACTAATGCTGCCATTAGATTCGCAAGGGTCAAATTAAGAGGATAAGGACCCTGTTATGATCTAACTCACGTGTTTTTGCAGGTTAAGATTTTTTGATCCGTCAGAGAAGACGACCGAAGTTTGACTCCAGCGTCTTTGTGGTTTGTTTGACTCCAGTAGGGCCTGTGTGCCATGGAGGCGCTTCATGATTGGTCATCACTTAAGTCGCTGGGGTCCACTTTTGACTCGCTTGAAAATTCAAAAAATAACGCGTGTTTTATTATTTGTTGTTTAATTCATAAATAGTTAATGTGAAACACAAATGGCGTAGTGGTGAGTGATACATTGGTTATGGTAAAAGGTGTGGGTTCGAGTCTCCGTTTTGTCAATTTATTTTGTTTTTCAGGATTCACGCGCAAGTTCATGATATGTTGATTGG